GATGTGCACACACTTGCTGAGGGAGACTGATGGAAAAGCAAATGTGGCAATGGCGAGTCCTCCCGATTTCCCAAAACCTTTGGTTAGCTCGAGTGACAGAAACGAATCGTGGATGCTTGCCTTTAACAGAAAAGGCGCAAGTGCTTTCCCACAAGGCTTCCCACAAGGCCTGATTTTGACAATATAGCTGCTACTGGACCCCGTTTGTTTTTCCTCGCGCAACCTGTTTTGGAGCCCGTTGGACTTTGATTGATTTACGAAGATGTTTTTTTGGCAAGGGCATTGGAGCCCCTTTTGGCCCATACAATAGGGGCTCAAAATGGAGGTCACAACCAGGTGTTGGGCAAAATGCTTCCTGCAAAAAGGCATTTGATTTTGTTTGTTTGCGTGTTTGTTTGTATGTTTGTTTGTTTGTTTGTGTGTTAGTCTGTCTGTCTGGCTGTCCGTCTGTCCGTCTGTCCGTTTGTCCGTCCGTCCATCCGTCGGTCTGTCTGTCTGTCTGTCTGTTTGTCTGTTTGTTGTTTGATTGCTTGCTTGCTTGCTTGCATGTTTGTTTGTTTGTTTGTTTGTTTGTTTGTTTGTTTGGTTTGGTTTGTTTGTGTGTTTGTTTGTTTGGCGTGTTTTTTTTGCGGTTTCTTTGTTTCTTTGTTTTGTTGTTTCTTTGTTTGGTTTTGCGTCTGTGTGTTCGTTTCTGTGTGCGTATGTTTGTTTGCTGTTGTGTGTGGGTGTATCCGTGTTTTTGCTTGTGTGGTTGTTCTTGTGTCTTTGTGTGTTTTCGTGTTTTTGTGTCTGTCTGATTTGGAGGCTTTGGGTTGGTTCCAAGGGAATCCGGCAAACCCACCCGTGTTCCTCTTAGTCCAGTTCCCCACTCCGATCGAGGCAAACCACGGGTACATGAGCCGCGGGGATACGGCGCAGCCTGAGACCTTGGAGGCGGTCACCAAGGGTGTGGAGCGCATGATGGCCTTCTTCAAGGAGCACCTCTAGATCCCAGACACCCAGTGGCGCATTTGCATTTTTTTTTTAATGTTTTTTGCTTGAGAAAGTTGGCCTGTGCCAGAAACCTGTTGCAAAGTAAGAATGGTGGCTGGGTTCCTTTGAAGCTCCGAAAGCACATCTGGTTGTTTCTCAAAATTGAGTCGGTCCCCTAGAAAGGTTGGTTTGTTTGTGGTTTCCCCTCAAATAAGTCTCCCCTTTTGGCAGACTTCACCCATGATGAAGGTCTCTAGCGGTGTGATTTCCCCGTTTCTGAACGAACCCACTTTGTGTTTTTGTTCTGGTTTTAAAGAAACTGGGTGAATTATAACGACCTCACACGACCTCAGCCCAAATGGTGGTTTATGTGGGGAATAGCCCCCAAACAACCTTATGTCAGGCTGGTGAAATAAATTAATTTTACGCAGAGGAAAGGAAAGCTAACAAAAAGCAAATTTAAACACAATTACCCATTTGCGCACGATGCTGGGTTGATGATACCCCTTGATTTTCGCTGCAGGTCCCAGTTTAGAGGGAATCCTTCACTGTGAAACAACCCACTAGACTTAGGATCAATCTGGCATACACAGTAGCGACCTCACGAAAAGCGTATTGCGACCTCACCCGCGACGAAGTGTCGGTTTGTGTTCTTAAGCGGTTCTTCTGTGGATTTGGTTATGTCCGCTGCCGTGGGCTGTTGAAACCCGGTCTGCCTGAGGGATGGCTTGTGGCCTGGGGTTCGTTTTCTCCCTTCATTTGGGCTCTTTAGAATATCTCTGCTGGCTTGCTGCCCCTGGCTTGCGGTATGTGGTTGCGGATATCTGGACTCTGTCCTGATGTTGCTTTGTTGGATGAGGGGTGCGCGGACTCCCTTGCCACCCTGTGTGCTTGGCCCCTTCGCAGAGGCTGGCATTGCGCCGGCCTGGGGCTCATTGCTCTTCATGCCACATGGGACCCCGCATGGCCACGGGTCAGGCTGCCCGGAATCGACCTCCCTAGAGAGAATCAGTGTTTTTTTTCTCCCGGGGTTTCCTATTTTTAGTCGCCCTTTTTGAGAATCGAACCGACGACGTGTGGATTCTCAGCCTCAAGTTCTCCAAGGGAAGGCAGATTCTTGCTCAGATCTGCGCAAGTAAGGAATGACTCGCCGGTGCTGAGCGTCGGCACTCACACGTGCGAGTCATCAAAGAGAAGTCTTGTGGAAAGTGCGGTACGTGCTTGGTCAACACTGAGGGCAAGTGAGCTGCGACTGACTGCCTGCGACCTGTTAGCCTGGCGGGTGTGGTTCCCCAAAAAAATCAAAAGACGGGCTTTTCGCCCAACACTTCTGTTAATCAGACAGGAGATGGGCATGCAAAGCGTCAGGGCCACCGAGTTTGCGCGGCGGCACGCTCGTTTTCCAAGTCTTCAGGCGCATGAGCAATTCCAAGCTGTTTTAATGGCGGGCACTGTGTGTGCAGCCAATGTCCTCAAGGGTCCCTTTTTTGTTTTCGTTCTGCTTCGTTTGGAGTCGGTGGCCACTCGTGAAACGTCGGACACCACGTTGAGGGTGGTCCCATGAGATCCGAAACTCCATAGTGCGTCACCTGGGCACATCGATGGAGCTGGTGACGCACATGTTTTTGTTTCTTCTTCTTTTTCTTCTAATTTTCTACTTCTGGTGTGGGTTGTCATCTCATGCAAGTGTGTGTGTGTGTGAGTTTGTTTGTGGTTTTGAGGGGCCTTTGGGGCTGTTTTTTTCCAGAAGAGACTGGACCGCCATGTGTGGGACCCCTCTTTTTGCTACACAGGCATGTGAGTCCCTTGCTGAGGTATTCAAAGAATCTTAACCCTGCTTTGCGGCTGGCTCCTTGCAAAGCAGCGAATGCCCATTTTGTCTCAATCATTCCTCTGCATCAGGCAGGGGTGGTTCCCCTAATTTGGAAATTGGCAGTGTTCGGGGAGCCTCATGGTCTATGAACTTTTCCCAGAATTGACCTTATGGTGTCACAAGGTTGACTTCCCCGAATTGTTGATGTGGGTCAAGGGTCATTGCCAGGTGTCATACAGACATGCTGTGTCATACAATCCCCAAGTCAGTTTTTGGGGCGAGGTCCTTCATCCCGGGATCCCTTACTGTCAGAGCGTGAATTATAGCTTGCCCATATATGCTATATGTTTGTTGTTTGCCCACGGGTGTGGCTGTGTTTTGTGGGTATTTTTTGAGGAGTTGGCTTGGAACGTGCCCCCACTTTGAGACATCCCCGCCCATAGGGAAGAAAATGCCATGATGTTGCTACTTTCCTCCTGCGGCCGTTTGACTGGCTCATGTCCGCAAAACAAGCTACTGTCTTCTTCAGGATTCGGGTCTTTCTCGCCAGAAATCTCCAATGTCCCATCCCAATTCAACAAGTTGGGAGCATGGCGGATGCCCTGCAAAAAGTTGGGAAGGAGTTGGAAGCTGTGATTCACCTCGATCAACCAGGATTTAGCAGTTGGATGTTGTCCAAGCTACTAGGGTGCAGGTAGTCAGTTGACGATCCGGATGGTCGACCAGATAGCCGTTGCGTTTGGATGTTTGTCTACTTGTCTCGTATCGAACTTGGAATTGGCAGCGCCTGGTCACTGGAACTGCTCATGCCTCTCGCACCGATAGTCCGGTTGGCGAGCGAAAAAGAGGCCTGCGAGTGTCAACCTCGGATTTCGAAGGGCCCTAGCCAAAAGACATCAGTGGACCTACATCAAAAACCGGAACCACCCCTGATTAGTATGGTCCTCCGGATTACTTTGAAGTTGACATGGAGCACGCTACTCCCTTCCTCAGGAGATTCCTTTGCCGGTTTGCGGGGTTGGTTGCTAATCATGAAGTAAATTGAGTTTCTCTTGGTCATGTTCGAAGGGAACGGATCTGTTGAGGGACCTCTTTCTTGGGGCTGTGAAGGGACTTCAAAAGGAACATGTTTTGTGGCGGGGGATCCTCACCAGGACAAACGCATATTTCCGTTCTCGGAAGGATCCAACCAAAAGCATGAGCAGGTTTGCCATTGAAAGTAATGGTTTGACATCAGCCAATTCATATTGACATATACATCCATGTAGCGAGTTGAAGGCGATGATGAAAGAACCACATAACACATAGTTTAACTTAAATCATGCTTGTTGCTTCTGGTGCCCAACGAGTCGAACTCTGGCTGTTTTGCTAATGTCTTGTTTTTGGGGATAGGGTGACAAACTTGCCGTGCCTTTGATGTCCCCCCCGGGGAGTGACTGGCCGATGCTTAAAGTTTAAAGGGGTCGTTTGTAGTGGGTGTCACGAAAAAGAATTCATTGGCAATTTTAGTAGATGGTTTTACCTGGTGTCATTTTGTAGTAGAGCCTATGCAAACCTGTGTAGTCATCTTGCCAAAGTCCCGATGCCCTACGTAAAATTGCCACATTGATTGGTTCAATGAGGCCTTTTGCCGCATTGGAGACCAACTTGTCAGCTGGAAGGACGCACTGGTACACAAATTCTTGGGGGTACATAAGGGAACCCAGTGATGCGCAATCTTCTTCGGTTTTCCTCGCTCTTTAAGCCCGGCAACCGAGATCGGCGAATGAAGTCATTCGCGGCGAGCAAGGCTCTTTTGGAAGAAGACCTTCCTGTTGGAAGGAGGTCTTTGCACTTCCATGCTCGAGGTCAGCGTTTACGCGCGCTTACCCTCAATGGAAGTGGACAGAGGGAACGCCCCGAAATGGCGTTCAATCCCCTGTCAGCTTCCATAATTACATTCAGAATAGTCTCGTCTCCCTAGTAGACGTCCCCCTCTCATGACATTTAGATTAAAATTGGAGGCCCCTAGTTCTGATTCCGTCCTTCTTCCTGGATCCCAGTCGTCTTTGGCACTCGTCCAAGTGAGCCACACTCAAATCCCAGGCAAATCAAGCTGAAGGGACAGTCCCAGGTATCAGCAGGTGCCTCCGCCCTTTCATTTTTTAGCATTCTTCCGGGTTGATCGTTTCAGAATATGGTTTTTTCCAGCCTCTTCGCTTGGGTCCGGAGCCAGGCGTCCGCCAGGCGGACGCGGCTCAGCCCGAAGCCCGGTTCAGAACATGGCTTGCTCAGCCCGTTTTGGGGTTAACCTACGCCTCGGAAATGACATTGGTACGTTTTTCTTAGCAACATTCATTTTTCCAACGGTAAGAACGGGGCGCTGGAGGCTTTTCGTAGAGAGTTGTTTTGGGCGCTTTGAAAGGGACCCGAGGCGAAGATTCGGCCTTTAAGTCGGATGGGGCCTTGCCATTCCGTGTGGCGGGGGGGTTGTCAAAATGGATTCGAAGCCCTCTTTTCGGTAGTAGTCAAAGGGAAACTAAAAGGAAACCAAACGTTTTGGGCTTGGCACCCAGCACAACGGGCATGTCAGGCGCTGAGGGAATTTGTTGAGGGGGCATTCTCTCTTTCACTGAGAGGGAAACCACGCAATTTGGACCATTAACCATGCTGTGGATACTGGTTGCACCAGTTGCTCTGGGACAAACCACCTACCTACTGGCGCACGAGTTTGTCCAGAGTCGAGCTTTGGCCGGCGTGGTTCGACGCCTTGGAGCCAAGGCTTATTGCAGACACTCAGGAGGTGGGCGGACTTGCCGCGTTGGCCCGTCGGCCGTGTTGAACAGTGTCAGTTGAAAGGTTCAACTGAGCCGCCTTCTGAAAACACGGCTAGATGAAGGTTAGAAAGGAATAGTCCCGGCCTTCAAATGTACCTGGTTTTGGGTAGACCATGTTAGTACCATAATTTGATTTTGACTCAACTACTCCTTTTCAAGCCAACATGGACTCCCAAAAGCCTCCCATGCTGATTGAGTCCCATATTGACTTGCAGGGGAGTAGCTCTAATCTGTTCTCGGCCAGATTCACTTTGCCTTCACCATGTGTTCAATTGAGCAGTTCATGTGTTCACACAACATTTATCCACTGGGAATGCATTGCACCAGCCCTTACACATGGCAGGCGTTGCTGGCCTTGACTTCATTTTGTTCAACACTGAACAGAGGGTTCCCCATGTTTGTGCCAGGAATGGCTTGCATAGCGACTGGAGGTAGCACCCTTTTCACCTGTTTGTTTGGTGGGTCCCCCACTAAACATGGTCAACCTCCAGACATGCACGACCCTCAAGAAGTGGGGCCAGCCCTAATTCTGGTTACGTGACCCCACATTCAACGCGCTCTTGCGCAGAGACACACAGCCACACACAGACACAGAGACACAGCCACACGGACACAGAGACACAGAAACACAGACACCAGACACAGAGACAAGAGACAAGAGACGAAGAGACAGAGAGCCAGCGAGACAGAGAGTCAGCGCACAGACACACAACAATCATAAGCACCCACAGAGAGACAGTTAAACACACACACACACAGACACACACCCGCATACAGACATGCAGACGCAGAAACACAGAACAGACCCCCAGAGGCACAAAGACGCAGAGAACCAGTGACAGACAAGCAAGGTGCTCGGAACAATGGTCATGTTCTTATTAGTGCACTGCTCGCCTACAAATCAGCGTGGAACCTCAAAAGGGGTCCCACAAAAGGAGTGAGTTTACTTTGCCAATCGTGGCTTTTGGGTCCCCATGCAAATCTCCAGGAGGGCAAGTCCGTGATTTGTCTTCCGCGCCATTGTCAGAAGGCCGATTCCTTTATTTGGGATTGGTAGAGATGGTCAACCTCTCAGGTTCAGTGTAGGTTCTTGCCAAACCAAGCAACAAAACAAAAGGCATCACCCAACGAGTTTGGCACCATTCTACTGCGCCTTAAGATCCCTCACTTCAGGTTCGGAACATGCAGAGTTTGCAGATCTGCGGAACCACGAGGAAAACCACGAAATGTTTGGGCCACCTCCTGTGTCACACCCACGCGCACATGCGCATACAAAAAAGCTACGCATGTCAATACGATAAACGCCTCCACAGTGGTTTCTGGACAGGAATCCCCACCGAATTCTGATGTTGCTATGTTCAATCAATCATACCCATTTTAGCGAGGGACGATGTACTGCGATGGCTGGAATCCACTGAGCAACTTGTGTGTCTTGTTGGGGTACCCCAATATGGCCGTGGGTCAAATTGAACCACCAGGGGACAGGAGGTTTTAGTCCATTCCAATTTAAGGGCTGCCGCCCAGTGCCGCCGACCCCTCCGCTGGGGGGCCAGCCCAGGTTTTTTTTGTTCTGTCAGCGGCTTTTGGCTGGTTCAGGCTTGCTGGCTTGCTTGCTTGCTCGCTTGCTTGCTTGTTTGCTTGTTTTCAGCGCTTTTCCAGGCCGCACTCGTTTGCCCACAGCGAGCACCAACCAAAGGAGTGCTATATAGAAAGTAGACAGCTATCGGTCCCCAGGGCGCAACCAGCAAGAACAGCTTCGCGTCCAGCGCGCTTGGAGGCCGCACTCGCTTCGCTGCAGCGAGCACGAACCAAAGGAGTGCGCCGGCAGCCTGCTCCGCCGCGGCCGAGTGCCTAACGTCGCATTTGAGTCCAATACGCAGCAAAGCTATCGGTCCAGAGGGCAGCAGAAAGGAAGAAAAGAGGCCGAACGGGCGGGCCGTGACAAAGCTTCAGCGCTGAAAACTGTGCCCTGCAGGTGCTGGAGCGCTTTTCCAGGCCGCACTCGTTTGCCCACAGCGAGCGCCAACCAAAGGAGTGCGCCGGCAGCCGATAGGAAGAAAAAAGGCCGAGCGGGTGGGTCTTCAGCGCGAAAAGCTGTGCCGAGCAGGTAGTTGAGCACGCTCGGCCTCCTCAGCTCAGGGGCAGTTGGTGTAGTGGCATCACACCCGCTCAGCACGCGAGAGGGGCCGGGTTCAATCCCCGGCCTGTCCATGCCCATGTGCGCCTGCGTTGGTCTTTCTCGCTTAGGGTTTGCTGTGCGTCTTGCCAAGGGCGGCTGCTGCGCCGCGGCCGGGTGCCGAACGTCACTTTTGAATCCTATATATAGAAATAGTATTAGTTAGAAATAGTATTAGTAGAAAGTATAGAAAGTATAGAAAGTAGAAAGCTATCGGTCCCCAGGGCGCAAACCAGCAAGAACAGCTTCGCGTCCAGCGGCCTCTTTTCTTCCTATCTGCTGCCGGCGCGCTCCTTTGGTTGGTGCTCGCTGTGGGCAAACGAGTGCGGCCTGGAAAAGCGCTCAAGCACCTGCAGGGCACAGTTTTCAGCGCTGAAGCTCTGTCACGGCCCGCTCGTCCGGCCTTTTTGCTTCCTTTCTGCTGCCGGCGCACTCCTTTGGTTGGTTCTCGCTGTGGGCAAACGAGTGCGGGCCCGCCCGTTCGGCCTCTTTTCTTCCTTTCTGCTGCCGGCGCACTCCTTTGGTTTCTTTCCTTTCCTTTCTGCTGCCGGCGCACTCCTTTGGTTGGTGAAACGAGTGCGGCCTGGAAAAGCGCGGGAAGCGACGCTTTTGTGGCTGGCCGCTCCCTCTGGACCGATAGCCTTGCTGCATATTGGACTCAAACGCGACGTTAGGCACCCGGCCGCGGCGGAGCAGGCTGCGAACGGGCTGGCCGTGACAGAGCTTCAGCGCTGAAAGCTGTGCCCAGCAGGTAGTTGAGCACTCTCGGCCTGCTCAGCTCAGGGGCAGTTGGTGTAGTGGCATCACACCCGCTCAGCACGCGAGAGGGGCCGGGTTCAATCCCCGGCCTGTCCATGCCCATGTGCGCCTGCGTCTGGCACCGTTTGCCTATCCCTGGCACGAACCAAAGGAGTGCGCCGGCAGCCTGCTCAATATGCAGCAAGGCTATCGGTCCAGAGGGAGCGGCCAGCCACAAAAGCTTCGCTTCCCGCGCTGGTCCAGGCCGCACTCGTTTGTCCACAGCGAGCACCAACCAAAAGGAGTGCGCCGGCAGCAGAAAGGAAGAAAAGAGGCCGAACGAGCAAGCCCGCACTTGTTTGCCCACAGCGAGCACCAACCAAAAGGAGTGCGCCGGCAGCAGAAAGGAAGAAAAGAGGCCGAACGGGCTGGCCGTGACAGAGCTTCAGCGCGGAAAGCTGTGCCCAGCAGGTACTTGAGCACTCTCGGCCTCGGCTCAGGACCAGTTGGTGTAGTGGCATCACACCCGCTCAGCATGCGAGAGGGGCCGGGTTCAATCCCCAGCCTGTCCATGCCCATGTGCGCCTGCGTTGGTCTTTCTCGCTTTGGGTTTGCTGTGCGTCTTGCCAAGGGCGGCTGCTGCGCCGCGGCCGGGTGCCGAACGTCACTTTTGAATCCTATATAGAAATAGTAGAAAGTATAGAAAGTATAGAAAGTAGAAAGCTATCGGTCCCCAGGGCGCAAACCTGGTGCTCGCTGTGGACAAACGAGTGCGGCCTGGAAAAGCGCGGGAAGCGAAGCTTTTGTGGCTGGCCGCTCCCTCTGGACCGATAGCCTTGCTGCATATTGGACTCAAACGCGACGTTAGGCACCCGGCCGCGGCGGAGCAGGCTGCGAACGGGCTGGCCGTGACAGAGCTTCAGCGCTGAAAGCTGTGCGCAGCAGGTAGTTGAGCACTCTCGGCCTGCTCAGCTCAGGGGCAGTTGGTGTAGTGGCATCACACCCGCTCAGCATGCGAGAGGGGCCGGGTTCAATCCCCGGCCTGTCCATGCCCATGTGCGCCTGCGTCTGTCACAGTTTGCCTCTCCCTGGTCTTTCATCCCTTTGGGTTTGCTGTGCGTCTTGCCAAGACCGGCTGGTGCGCCGCGGCCGGGTGCCGAACGTCACTTTTGAATCCTATATAGAAAGTAGAAAGCTATCGGTCCCCAGGGCGCGACCAGCAAGAACAGCTTCGCGTCCAGCGCGCTTGGAGGCCGCACTCGCTTCGCCGCAGCGAGCACGAACCAAAGGAGTGCGCCGGCAGCCTGCTCCGCCGCGGCCGGGTGCCTAACGTCGCGTTTGAGTCCAATATGCAGCAAGGCTATCGGTCCAGAGGGAGCGGCCAGCCACAAAAGCTTCGCTTCCCGCGCTTTTCCAGGCCGCACTCGTTTGTCTACAGCGAGCACCAACCAAAGGAGTGCGCCGGCAGCAGAAAGGAAAAGGAAAGAGAAGAAACGAAGAAGAAAAAGAAAAAAGTGAAAGAAAGAAGGCTGGTAAGGTACAGGGCTGAACGGGCGAGGGCGAAAGGGAAGGGAGAAGGCTGCCACAGTCACGCTCCAACGCTAAACGAACACTCCCCCAGCGCCTTCCCCTTGCAGGCAGGGGGGTCGGCGGATTACCAGGCCTCCATTTTGCGCACCTATTTTTCACCCACACCCATATCTTGAGCACCCCCCCATATTGTGTCCATGGGTTTTTGTGGGTCAAACAGCTGGGCTGGGAAACGGTGCCGTGCCAGGCTCAGCGGCCCTCGATTCTCTGGGTGCAGGCGATGAACCGGGATGCCCCCCTGAAATGGGTTCCATGTTATGTTGGGTCTGGTTCCTTTTTCTTTAGGGTACCGTTTTTTGTTTTCACGGTTTTACATGAAAGTGAAAGGGAAAACCCACCATTTTGGGATCTGACTTGAAAAACTGGCCCACCCATTTGCAGCGGAGGGTTGGTTCATGCCGACCCTGGGAAGAGCTCTCTCTGAACCGCCAGAACATCGGGGAGTTCATCCTGGGCTCCATTCTGGTGCTCCTCTCCGCAGGGTCGCCCAAACAAGTTCGCGTGCGGCTCTCGAAGGGTCGTGGTTTCGTTTTTTAGCACGTCTTTCTTGGTTTTCAAGGGAAAACAAGGGAAAAGAAGAAATCCTGTTGTTTGATTGGTTTTCAAGCGAAACTGAGGGAAAAGAAGGAGGCTGAGACATACCCGAATTTCTGTGTGTTTGGTTCAACCAAGTGGTTTAACAACCCACACCGCGGGTGCTCTTGTTTTCTTCTTTTGCACGGGGCGCGGGGGAGGGGACCCTTTGAATTCAGCCATTCATCAACAATGGTGCCCTTCATGTCCATAGGTCTGGTCAGAAAAAAGGGCATGAAGCTAGCCGGGAAGGCTTCATCCTGTTTTCTTGGCTTGATGGGACCACGCGGGTGTGTCTTAAAGCAGGAGGCTCCAGAATGGTGGTGTTCGACCTGGTTTCCGTAAAAGCATCCCAAAATGGGCATCCTTGATCAGAGACACGCCCAAACCAGTTTTGCTTTTAGATTCCCAAACAGCCACAAAAGCCTCTGTGGCAAGAACATTGATCAGGCATGGGATTTGCTGGCGGCTTGGCCAATCAAGTCAATCGGGTGAAGAAACATCTTCCCAGCCGAAGCAGCTTCGTGCGCACTTTGGTTGACAAGCAACCAGTTTCTCCTTTTGACAGCGGAGGGAAGGCCCAAGATTGAGTGCGCCTATATTTGGACACCTTGCTCAAAGAAGAAAACCGTCACCCTTCCCTGATGTCCGAAGTAGTATTTGGGTGGCAGCCGCATCAGTCCAAAGGTACCCGGTAACCCCAAGCAAAGCGGGTCGCAAGCTTAATCGTTGCGCGGTGAGGCTCAGCAGGTCAAAGATCGGCCCGGGCTAGTTCAGGCTTGGCGCTGGCTGAGATTTGAACAAATTGTAGCAAGCTCGCCGACGAAAAAGTTAGGCGAGCTCGCCGATGCACGCAAGAGGTTCCCTTATCTCCAGTTTGAGAATGTAGTCACTTGCCGATAAAAAAGAGAAAAGCCAACTAACCAAAGCTGCTTTCGGCACGTTCCATTGCCCATAAATTTGAATGTACCGAACGGGAAGCCAGGGCACGGATAATTTGTTGTTATTTTCCTGTTTGGGACCCTTCCCTTTTCAGGGCGGAAGGGACACGAATCTGGCCCAGTTGACAGCGAGCTGGTTCTTCGAGCGCCAGCTTGCCCCGGGCTTGGAAAAGCAATCTTGCACGCACACACTTATTTTGGCGGAGAAACGTTCACTGCCAGCTTAATTTTTCTGAGGTTCCGCATCCTTGTGAAGCAGAAGGTGTTTGGATCTCCAGTGAGACTTGAGGCGCAAATCACAGTGCCTCCCAAGCGTGACCTCCAGGGCAATTCCTCAGAGGTCTGGGTACCAAACTGCACAGGGAGTGTCATGGTCAAAAATGGGGGTCTCACCCACTCTCGCACAAAAAGCAGGGCACTTATTTGGTTCCCAGTGGCCCACTGACACTCGCGTTAATCCTTTTTGTCGGGGGGAAGTTTCCCTTCAAATCAGGGCCCCTTTTGGTCTCCTATGGCCGCTGGTCTTCTGCGAGTTGAGTTCCTTGATGTAACCCAGCGCAATGTATCCCTGTTTGCTCTGGTTCCGTATCTGGAGATTCCTTATGGCTGGTTTGCGAGTTCAGTTATGTTGGGATGCGTCAAAATGCGGGGACCCCTGAAAATGGGAAGTTTCCCTTTGGTTTCCCTACCCCAACAGGGTGCTCAAATCAAAAATCGCACAGCCAATTGATTCGATCAACAAAGCTATACTTTTTTTCTCGCCAGTGAGGCATGGAAATTGAGGGTTCCGACTAGCCGCATGCTGACTTGGCCTCATTGGTTCATGGGGCCCATGTTTGTTTCGTGTAGCACGGGCAAGCGTGCTCAAAAGGGGTCTCCAAACATGGTGTTTGTTCTGTTTCATGCTGAGCACCCCGACACCCTCAAACAACAACAAACACATTTGTGCTGTCCGGAGTTCGTTTGGTTTTTAGTTGGTTCTGCAAGCAATACTGCAAAAACTGCCACAACTCTTGCTCACAAGGTTGCTTTTTGTTTCCAAAACTAGGGACCCTGCGACGCGCAACGATACACCGAGCATCACCACAAAACCGCTCAACTTCAGCTACAATACTTGTTCCACTTGTTCCCAACGACTTGCTGCAAGCTGTGGCGTCCTGAGACCATCGTGAAACACGGCGCCCCCGGTCCTTCAACAAGCCTTGCGGCTTTTGCGCCTCAACAAAATGGCAAAATGCTGGGCCGTTTTCGAGGGAGACCCAAAGCCCCAAACAAATAAGTCGCTCGTTTGGACTCAACTGAGGCGCGTCTGGAGTGCTTGGTTTCCATAGGCGCACGGGAGAGTTTGACTTGGGTCTCCGCCACCAAGAAAGCGACAACTTGTTTTGAGAGAAGGGAGGATGAGGCTTATGCCACCGTCACCGAGCCTCAGAAAACGAAACACAAGACACACTAACTTTAAGGGGAATGGGCCCCGGCAGGAGGAAGGCTATGCAATCATAGTGTGCCTGCGAAACAGCAAACACAGGCTACGCCATTTTAGTTTGCCAGAGCTTTCGCCAGGCGCTTTCTGGCATACATGTGTTTCCTGGGTACCATTGACTAATATATTGGGATGTAATTTACGGGGCTGCATCATTTCACTCATTGTTCTGCAATGATTATGACTGAAATGGCCTTAAAGTTATCTCAACCCCATTCAATTTTGGGGAGTGGGGATCTTCGGTCAACTGGTACCAGGGGCACCCAACGCGAAGTGCCGTGTGTCTGCTTTGCTTTCCCTGGGCCCCGTGAGAAGGGTGGGGGGGTGCTTGGGATGGTATGTTTAGGCGGGTGTCCCGGGGCAAGCGGTGTGTTGGCCAGTGGAGTTGGTGTCCATTTTCTATTTGCATCTACCTAAGGAGTCAAATCCGCTGCATGTGCATATGTATATATATAGATATATATGTGTGCATATACAATTATACACACGCACGCATGCGGGTTCCTATATCATGGTACGGTCCCCTCCCATTCGGAGCCGGGCCCCTTTCGGCAGTTCGGCTCATGGCAGGCCGCAACAACTGCGTGAGCGTCACAGAGGTGCCGTGGCGACTTTTGAGTCGGTTCGCAAGCCCTGGGTTGGTCTCAATATGTCTCAATATTACCCTCCCACCGACCAACGTGGACAGTGCACAAAGCCCCTTTCCAAGAGGAAGGCAGTCTTTCTACAGTTGCGCACTTCCATGCTAGTCAGTGGGAGTCGATGGGAGGGTACATGCCATGACCTTCCCTTGGGGCTATCAATTGGTACCCTCGCCGCAGTGGAGTCCCACAGAATACAGAGGAGGGATCACTTCATGTTGAAATATCCAGGCTGGGGAGGGCCACAGTGTCTCAGGGATGTCCGAGTAAGTCTCTACGCACCCATTGGAATCCAAGCGTTTTACACTTAAACATACGTATGTAGATTATACATATATTTTTTCGAATGTATATACATATATACATGTATATGCATGTGTAGGCAGAGACATGTATATACACGTATATATATATATATGAGAGAGATGAGAGAGAGAGAGAGAGAGAGAGAGAGAGAGCGAGAGAGAGGAAGGAGTGAGCGAGGGAGAAAGAGAGAGATATGCGACGACAGCTGCTGGAGTCAAGTGTGTGACGATGCATATACATATATATATAGAGAGATATACGGAGAGAGACAGAGAGAGAGAGAGAGAGAGAGGGAGAGGGAGAGAGAGAGAGAGAGAGAGAGAGGGAGAGAGGGGGCAGACACAGACACATGGAACGCGCAGACGTTTGAATGTCCTGAAAAAGAGACCAGTTGCAAGCTTGGACCAACTTCTGGGGAGGTTGCCCTTGATTCAGACCAAACCTGTCGAGAGCCTATCTCTTTATCAGGACACACCTCTGATATTATGAAAGTGGATGATTACCTGATGAAGAGAAATGAAATGAGACAAATATACCTTTCTTTTTGGGAAACCGATTTCGTATTGTTGACGAGAGAAGACGAGCCAGGCTTGCTTTTGTTTTACATCTTCTTATATTTGTATTTCTCATATAACCATATTAATAGCATATGTTATCATATGTTGTTTCTTTATATGATAAACTATGCGTCTACAAAATATAGTTACACAAGCATATTGTTCATTTTGTATGATCCCTTCTACCTGGCTGCGCCTCGCTTGCACCCGGAGGCGCAGGAGAAGAACTGGGGTCAGCTGCTGCACATCAAGGGGGACTTGCGGGCGGAGGCGCCCATGAAGGACTGAGACGGCACGCTGTTTTTGTGCCCCAAACCGATTTTCCCATTGGCAGTTTGAGTGGTTCCACCTGGTTCAATTGTGGTTATAGTATAAATAGAAATGGTACGGATCA